AGGCTGTGGCCCTGGGCCCCGGAAGCCACCTCGCCCTTCACCGCCAGACCTTATTTATTTATTTATTTCCGGACTGGGGGGCGCGGCAGCCAGAGGACCCCTCCCCCATCTCCCCTATTTAGAGAGGGTCCCTCCAGGGGACACCCGTGCCTTATTTATACTTATTTATTTCTGGGGGGTGGGTGGGAGGCAGGTGGACTCAGGGGTCCCCAGCGGGAGGGGCCTGGGGTCCCGGGGTTCTTGGATCCCCAGGCCTGGCCCCCCACTCCTCTGGGCCTGAGCAGGGGCGTATGTTATTTATTAAACTCTTCCTTTTTGCGACGGGGTGGGGCGGGAGGGACGGGGAGAGGAGGCCTGGGTTTTTGTACAAACACGTGAGACGCCTTTGTGAGCTGGAGAAGGGAGAATTAAATGTCACACACACCCACTCGGAGGCTGTTTCTATGGGGCTGATGGCTGGGGGCTGGACGCCGGGCCCCGGGCGGGGAGAGGGAAGGGCCCTGAGTGTGCAAGGCCAAGGCCTCGGAGGGGAGACCATCAGCGACCCTGAACCCAGAGGGGCGGGGGCTGAGCTTCCCTTGGTGCCCGGCACTTCGAAGTTCATCCAATAAATACTTAATGGAAGACCCTGTCCGGTGGCTCGGTTGGTTGAGCATCGTCCCTGTGCACCCAAAGGTCACTGGTTGATTCCCGGTCCGAGCACATGCCCTGGTTGTGGGCTTGATCCCCAGTGGGGGACCTGCAGGAGGCAGCCGATCGATGTTTCTCTCCCTCTCTCCCTCTCCCTTCCTCTCTAAAATAAATAAAAACAGCCCTAGCTGGTTTAGCTCAGTGGATAGAGCATTGGCCTGCAGACTGAAGGGCCCTGGTTCAATTCCCAGTCAAAGGCACATGCCCAGGTTGCGGGCTCCATCCCCAGCAGGACCCGCTCTGGGCTGGGCCTCAGGGGCAGGGTTTTACTCTGACCCCCTGGGTCCCAATGCACCCATTTCACAGGTGAGGGAAATTGAGGCTGGGGGGCCTGTTGTTCAAGGTCACGCAGCTAGAGAGACAACGGGTGGTCCTGCCACAGCTCTGGCTCATTGCAAAGGCTGGATCCCTTTCCTTGTCAGTCAACATACGGCAACCGTGACCACAGACACAAGTGCATTCCACATGGGGAAACCGAGGCTGGTGGGAGCCTGGGTCTTACTCAAGCTCCAGAGAAGGGTCCATTGTGAGTGGGGCCGTATTCCGGACTCTCCTCTTAAGGGTCAGAAACCCTTTGGTGGCCCCGTGGCCGGTGTGGCTCAGTGGTTGAGCGTCGACCAATGAACCAGGAGGTCACAGTTCCATTCCCCCCACCTCGTCAGGGCACAGGCCCGGGTTGCAGTCGATCCCCAGTGTGGGGCGTGCAGGAGGCAGACGATCCATGATTCTCTCTCATCATTGATGTTTCTCTCTCTCTCTCCCTCTCCCTTCCTCTCTGAAATCAATAAAAATATATTAAAAATAAACCCTTTGGTTCACTGTCCATTTGCAACATCACAGACAGACCCTCCCAGGGGGTCCTGTCTTGCCTCCAGGTGGAGCCTGGGGCAGGGCCTTGGGGTTCACCCCCACCTCCCCATCCTTCCTCAGGCCCCGTCCCCAGGGGAGAGGGGAGCCGTGACCGGGGAGACTTCCCAGGAAGAGTCCTCCGTGTGTGCGATGAGGTCACAAAGCCCCTCCACGGAAGGCTCCTCCCCCAGGCTGGGCAGAGCGCCGGCAGGGCCATGGCCCAGCCCTGGGGAGCCCCACCTTCTGCAGCCCCTGAGCTGGGGGCCCAGGCCG